GAGGGAGAGAGAGAAACCTCCGTGATGAGAGAGAATCATGGGCCGGGGTGATGGTGAGAATGGAGCGAGGTGGTGGGTGTGGCCCAGATTGTCGCTCTCAGAACTTGGGGGTCAGCACCCCATCCGCCGCCTCCCCGGCCCCCAGGCTAACAGGGTCCCCTCCGTGGGTTCCCTGCCGGCCGGCATCGCCCACCCTCTGCTCCGACCTGCAGGCGGCTCTCGGGGAACCACCTCTCACACATCCCGGGAGGAGCGTTCTCCGGCCTCCACAGCCTGAAAATCCTGTGAGTACGGGTGACCTTCCCGCCGAGGCGTGACCTTGGGAACGGAGGCCGCAGACACCCCTATCACCCCCTTACCTGCTGTTCCATCTTAATCATCGCTCCATTCCTGTGCGGCCGCTCTGTCTGTAACACACGCTACGGTTTGGGGACACGCATCACTGTACCCGCTATTATTTCATTATTTCCCTGCAGGAAAGCACACCATCCTTTTTTAAAAAAATATTTTTACTGTTTTCAGAGAGGAAGGGACAGGGAGAGAGAGAGAGAAACATCTATGATGAGAGAGAACCATGGACCGGCTGCCTCCTGCACGCCCCACACTGGGGACCCAGCCCGCAACCCGGGCCTGTGCCCTTCACCGGGAATCGAACCCTGACCTCCAGGTTCACAGGTTGACGCTCAACCACTGAGCCACACCGGCCGGGCCTTTCAGACCAAATTTCAGCGGAACCGCGAGTTCTGACTGTCGTCCCTCACGGCCGGCCGCCCACATGTCTCTGCTTCTGCCTCGTCATCCTCTTTGCTCTGCCTCACCCTCCCGTGACCCCTCCTGGCGGGGCCCAGCCCACCACACCTGGACAGCCCCCCTGATGGGCCGGGCCTGGGCTGGGCCAGGACGCCCTCTGGGCTCCTGCAGCTGGGGTGCGAGAGAGGGATCTAGCTTGGGGTGGGGTTCGAGGGAGGGACCCCAGCCCCGCAGGCCTAGGGGTCCTCACGCCCCTCCTCCCCTTGCAGGATGCTGCAGAACAACCAGCTGGGAGGGATCCCGGCCGAGGCGCTGAGGCAGCTGCCGAGCCTGCAGTCTCTGTGAGTCCCGGCCACGGCCCCTGCACCCTGACCCCACCCTGCGCCCCGCTTCCCCCCCACGTTCAGACAGCATGCGCTCCGGTCCCCGGTGTCTCCGGGTTTTTGTTGTCGTCAGAGGGCGTGTGTGTGTGTGTGTGTGTGTGTGTGGACTCGCTTGTGTATCCGGGAGGGGAGGCTCCAGGCCCCGTGGGGACGGTGGGAACGGGACCTCCCTAGGCGGGGCCACCAGGGCGGCCTCCTGGGGCGCCTGGCGTTCTGCCTGACGGAGCCTAGGGTGCCGGGGGTGCTGGGCGGGGTCAGCCGCCCCAGGAAGAGCCGTCTCCTCCGCTTAGGCTGCTCTAGCCCCAGGGCTTTGGGGGCGGTGTGGCCCAGACACCCATTTCCTCTGCCTGGGGTGGGGCTGTGTTGAGGAAGCATGGGCCACCCAAGACACGGTCACCCTCCAGGGAGCCCTGCAGCTCCTCTCCCGCCCAGCAGGGGCGTCGTGGGTTAGAGTTTGCATCTTTGAAACATGGCTCTGGTAGCAGCCTGGAGGACAGCCTGGAGGAGGGGGCTGTGAAGGGATGTGAACTGAGGGAACGTGAGGCCGGCGCAGGGGCCGGAGGAGAGGTTGGCGGACTCTGGACAGGTCAGGAGGCCAGGACACGCAGCCTGGGGTCGCTTCACCTGCTGCCTGGAGACCCCGGGCAGGTGACCGAACCCCGGCTGCTGCTTCTTTATAGGAAAATGGGGCGGTGGCTCAGTAGGAGAGCGGGAAGTGAGCTCACGTGCGTACAAGAGGCAGAACAGCACGTTCCTGGCTGCCACTGCAATCATTCCTGGTGGTATTGGCTGGAGGTGGGCGTTGAGGGAGAGCAGGGGGCGCTGACCTCGGGGTGGACGACAGGCCGGGCACCGAGAGCGTGGCCCTGGGAGGGGGTCAGTGAGAATGTGCTGACTGAGGGGTCAGTGGGCAGTGATGCCCAGAGGGCGGGCAGAGGGGCCCAGGGGGAGGAGGGTGCTGATGGCCCTTCTGCAGGAGCTGAGTTTGAGGTGCCTGTGGGTGGGCACACCAAGCATCAGTGACGACCTTAAAAATGGGTTGTCTCCCTCCCTGCAGGGCGTCAGTGTGTGCGTGCGTGCGTGCGTGTGTATGCGTGTGCACATGCGTGGGTGTATATGTGTGTGAGAATTTGTGCAACTGTGTGTATGTGTGTGCATGCAAGCATGTGTGTGCATGTGTGTACATGTGTGTGACTGTATGTAAGCATGTGTGTGGATGTGTACACATGTGTGAGAATGTGTGTGACTGTATGTAAGCATGTGAGTGCATGTGTGTGCATGCGTGTGGGTGTGTGCATGTGGGTGTATATGTGTGAGAATGTGTGTGACTGTGTATGTGAGTGTGTGTGTGTGTGCGTGTGGGTGTGAGTTCAGAGGGGGCCCTGTTCTGGGCCGGAGATGCCCCCCTGCCATGGAGAAGCCCCCCAAGCTGCCCCGAGGCCCGGTGGGTGCCCTCAGCACCACCCGTCTCGCCCGCCAGCCGGAGCGGACCCTGAGGGCCGGCCGTGCTGTGGGCCTGCCGAGGGTCCCCGGGGAGGCGCGGGG